GTGACTGGGCATGAATATTAATAATAATAATAATAGTTAAATAACAGCTGTCAGCAGAGCCAGGATCCACGCAAGTACATCCAGCTGCAAAGCCAGATCTTGACTGACAAATATCCATCCGCATGCCGTGTGTTATTTCTCTTCTCACATTTTCTCTTCCTCTTCGGCCTCTCTTCTTCCCCCTGTGTATTTATGTGTTCTTTCAAGTAAGCGGACATTTGCAGTTTTGCCGACACTGGTTGGGTCACCTGCCCTCTGAACTGGGCGTTGCCATCATCCTCATGTTACAGATGGAGAAAGACTGCTTAGGATTGTCCCAAGGTCCCCTGACTAGCACATGGCAAAGCTAGCAGATACACCCTTGCGTTCCAGTTTCTGAGTCTTCTTTTACCCAGTTGCTGTCCGTTTAATACGGGTTGTTTGTACGTGTATTTATGCCCCTCGAAGTATATTCATATGACATGAGCACCTTTCTCTTTCCATGCACTTTTTTTTTTTGACAGGCAGAGTGGACAGTGAGAGAGAGAGAAAGAGAGAAAGGTCTTCCTTTGCCGTTGGTTCACCCTCCAATGGCCGCCGCGGCCAGCGCGCTGCGGCCGGCGCACCGCGCTGATCCGATGGCAGGAGCCAGGTACTTCTCCTGGTCTCCCATGGGGTGCAGGGCCCAAGCACTTGGGCCATCCTCCACTGCACTCCCGGGCCACAGCAGAGAGCTGGCCTGGAAGAGGGGCAACCGGGACAGAATCTGGCGCCCCAACTGGGACTAGAACCCGGTGTGCCGGTGCTGGTGCTGCAAGGCGGAGGATTAGCCTAGTGAGCCGCGGCACCGGCCAAGTTACCATTTGTTCTTGAAAAGCTATTGTTTATAAAATTATTTTAATTGTGGTCCTTTTCTCTATAAGTGATGGTCATTTGCCTTCATTATGATAGATGGGTTCTCTCTGTTTATGTCCTGTTCCTTCTCGAACTTTTTCAGCAGCTTTATCAAGGACATATTGCAGCAGCCTGCAGTGGTATTTCTTGGATCATTGGAGTTTGCACCTTACTCATGTTGGATCTCAGGATTGTCAGATAAAAGAGAGCCCAGTGGTAGAGAGCCGGTGTCTGCCCTGAGGAGCACACGCAGCTCACTCCCGGGCCTGGAGGCCATGGTGGGAGGTGGCAGGGGAGGTGTGGAAGGGCTGTGAGCTGTGGGGCTTGGGCTCCCAGAGCGCACAGCCTTTCCTCATCGCAGCAGGACTGAGACACGGACACCTGCTGCCTCCCCACTCCACCACCAGAAATAGCCTGTTTTCTGGACGATCCTATGGTTGTGTTGCTCCTCTTCATAGTTAACCACCCACGTCTGCCTCATTAAACCATGGGGCTTAGTAATGCCCGGTTCTGGGCTTGACATAATCTAAGTGATACCAAACATTTCCTTGTCTGTCTTGCTTTCTCTTTGTTATAGTGAGTGGCTAGGATGGTGCGCGCGCATGTGTGTGTGTGTGTGTGTCCCATCAGGTGTCACGAACCCATGTGCTTCTGAACCCTTAGCCCATCCATCCTTAACTGGAAATGGGCAGCAAATGCCAGTAGCCTTCCCTTCATAGTCTGGGGTATGGGAAGTGTGGCTGCACACAGCCCCTTAGCCTGCCAGGAGGCTTCTCAGCTGCATGCTGGGAAAGCGGTACTCGGGCTACTGGTCACTTTCTGAGGCTGCCTGCAGCTCCGTTAGTATCTGTCAGCCCCTCTCTGCCCAGGCAGAGCAGCCAGTGTGTCCTCTGACCTCCTCTTGACACTCTGATAACTCTCCTTTTACACAGCACAGTGGCGTGAGCCTTTTCCCCTCTCATCCAGAAAGGTCACCTCCCAAACAAGCAGCCTGGGATGATTATGTCTGTTGATTCACACACTTGTGTCTCAGGCACAAGTTTCAAGGAGTGTTTGAGAGCAGCACCCCAGGTCAAAGAAGAAAGAACCAGGTGAGTGTAGTGATAACAACAACCCAGGCCCTAGCTGTATCTCCTGTGTTGTTTGAAGTTTACTTTTAAGACTACAGCACGGTCACTCAACATATCCTCGATGGAGTGCTGGCCTCCAAATCACCCAGATAAGTGCACAAATGAAACATTTCTGTCCACAAAAGCAAGAGTTTCATATTAAGAACCCTGTCTGCTCCATGTGAAAGAATAATCTTTCTTCTTCAGCATAACTCCGGTTCTGAGTCTAATTCCTGGAAACTGAAACCCATACTCTGGTCATTTGTTAATGAGGTGGATGTCCAGTGTACTTTTCTTCTGAGCCTTAGCAGCAATGGGAAGAAATTTTCAGTTCACTATTAAATATGTACACATGGACACACCCAAGTATTTCTGCAAGTTCATGGAAAGTGGAATTTAAAAATAAGTCTACGTTTGGCACAGAAAAAAATGGAAACCCATGCATCATTTTTAATGCGCACTTTCTGTGAACTTCATGTTACAGTTGCACTCATACACATGTGTCATTAGGCTGGATTGATGGAGTTTTTTAACTTTTTCATCTCTCCCTGATGCTCAGCTCCACGTTGGTGGTGGTTTTAGGTACTACAGTGAACAGCCTTGTTGTCGACTTAGATATGAGGGTCTCGGGCTGCAGGAACAGTGGTGATGGTGTGGTGAAGGCTTTGAAGCCCCGCAGAGCAGAAACTGCCTGTTGGCATAAGCCCAGCTGCCAGACTTGTTCAGGGCATCATCAAAACCTGGCTCCAGTAAGGTCTCTTCTGAAAGCTTGAGGATCTCATCGATGTTTTCTTCTTTATGAATGAAAATGAGTAGAGGGAACCTAAGAGTCTCCTAGGTTTGTTTTGTTTTGTTATTACTGTAGCTCTGATAAAGATGAATAAATTCATAGGTTCTGAAACAGATCTGACTGCTGAGCAGAGCTAAGTCAGCAGGAAGGAACCAAGTTGGATAATAACTGTTCCACCTCTGCTCCTGGTGCCTTGGGTTGTCTGGAACAAGCTCCGTATTTTGGAACTGGCTTTTTGCTCTAGCACTCGCACCTTGTAGCCGATTTTGTCATTTTGATGGATTGCCCCCTTTTCTATTGTCTGGGTCTCGCCAGGGAGGTTCACTGTAGCTCTGGAGCCTGCAACTCAGAACCCAGGGTTGGAGTCAGGCTGACTCAGGCCTGAATTCTCAGAGTCTTGGTTTCTGCCTTGAAGGTACGGCTGGGAGCCTTAAGGTCTCAGTAGGGGTGATGTGGCCCATTTTAGCAAAAGGTATATAAAGCATTTATTTTTTATTGTAACTCTTGATGTGACTTTTGTGGCTTTAAAATCAGCAGAAAAGTAGGAATAATTTAGATCATGTGGAAGTGAGTCCGTTTCTCCCACAGATCTTGACTTTCACCTTCTTGGGTTTCAAAGTCTTCCCAGTGCCGCAGTCAGGATGCCATGGGGAAGGCTTGGTCTTCGTTTTTATGGGTTGGTAAGGGGAAGCTCAGAAAGATTAGGTTTGAACGTGCTCATGTTTCCGTGGCCTGGGGAGGCTGTTGGGGCTGGGATTGGAGCTTTGCGCTGTGACACCGAGTCCTAGCTTTCTCGCCACTCTGATTCTCACAAGACCTCGTGGCCTCCATGGGATGTTGAGATGATCCAAAAGAGACAGAAAGATCATTTGGGGCACCTGGACTGTCAGGTGTCTCCTCATCTGGACATCCTTGATGCATAGCGTTAAGCCTTATGTTGGTTCATTTTATAAGTGGCCTCTCCAAAAATCTTTATTCCTTTTATCCAGAGAGTCAGTTACAGGATGAGACCTCACTAAATGAGAGCGTTCCTAAAAAGACTTGCGAAGACCAGCAGCTTGGAAATGCAGACTGTGAGGTAATGAGGGACTGAGGAGATGTTGTTCCTTCTACGTCTCTGATTTCCCATCTGCAGAGAGGGAATAGAGATATTAGCTATCATGTAGGATATTGAAGTGAAAGTATGTATACCGCAGTATATGACCTGTAGTAAACCCTGAAATTGTCCATTATTATCTTTTTTTAAAGATATTTATTTATCTGAAAGTCAGAGTTACACAGAGAGAGGAAAGGCAGAAAGCAAGAGGGAGATCTTCCATCTGCTGGTTCACTCCCCAATTGGCTGTAATGGCTGGAGTTGCACCTATCCAAAGCCAGGAGCCAGAAGCTTCTTCCAGGTCTCCCACATGGGTGCAGGGGCCCAAGGACTTGGGTCATCTTCTACTGCTTTCCCTGGCCACAGCAGAGAGCTGGATCAGAAGTGGAGCAGCCAGGTCTCAAACTGGTGCCCATATAGGACGCCAACACTGCAGATGGTGGCTTTACCCACTACACCACAGTGCCAGCCCCCATTATTATCTTTTTAATAGAGATTTGTTATTTTTCTGAGAGAGAGAGAGACAGAGAGAGAACAGGAGAACTCCCATGCACTGGTTTACTTCCTAAATACCCCTGGTGGCCAGAGAGTTGAAGCTTGGAACCTGGAACTCAATCCGTGTTTCCTGCGTGGCTGACAGGGACCCAACTACCTGAAACATCACTTTCTGTCTCCCTGGAGCAATGTTAACAGGAAGCCAGAATCAGAGTGCAGCTGGGATTCAGAGCCAAGCACTGTGAGATGGGAAGCACACACCCCAGGTATCATCCCAGCAACTTCGAGGCCAGATGCCTCCCCCTGTCCTCTGTTAGCTTTTTGGTGATGTTGTTACAGACAAGATTTCTGGTCTAGCTCTCTGGAGATTCAAAGTGTGCCGTGATAGTTCACATACAGCTTTTGTTGGAAAGGAAATAGCATTTGTAGGCCACACATCTGCCTGGAAGATGGAACTGGACATTTATCCATAGGTCTCCAATAGAACATCTTGTCAAGTTTTTTTTCCTTCATTATTTTGATTGACATAAAAAAGCATCGAGTGTGCTGATCCCCAAAACTCAACAGTGCTATTTTTATTTTTTGATTTGCTATGATTATCCCCCAAACAGTGACCTCCTCATTTAACTCGTTTTAGGGTTCGATGCTTACTTCACATCCCGCACGCTTGAGAACAACAGAAGAAACGTGTGGTTTGCTGAGTACTGGGAGGAAAACTTCAACTGCAAGTTGACGATCAGTGGGTCCAAAAAGGAAGACACGGACCGCAAGTGCACAGGTAACGGCATTCTCGCTGTCCTTCTCCCGTGGCTTCGCGTGGCCAGCACTGAAATGTCTGTATAGCCGACAGCAGGAAGCGTGGCTGGAGACGAATTGAAGGAGTAGACTGAATTTTACTGGGTTGTTGAGGGGAAGTGGAACAGGAACATAAGTGGAAGGGACAAGAGAAATACAGACGAGAACGCAGTCTTGTCTTCCTTCTATATTGCAGCAGCTGACATTGTCACTGACCCTTTGAAGTCACGAGAGATCATGTTGCTTTGGACATTTTATCAATAAATACTAGTCAGTGCTTCATCCAGAAGTAGGAAGTCACTTCCGAATAGAAAAAAAAATCTCTGACAAACTCCATACCCTGACCAGCTTTAACTGTTAGTATGGGTTTATAATAACAAGAATTCCTAATGATTTTCATGACGTCTGAGTTCACAGATCATCTGTTGTTTTAAATAGACTTCAAAGTATTCACGGCTTCTCCTTTGCAAGCTTGCATGAATGTTCCAAATCAAAAACCCGTGTTGAGCAGTCGTGAGGAAAAGCGTACACAGGGGTCCCTTCACTTACAACTGTTTGTTGAACCGCTGATTGCTGGAACCACTGTACTTAGCACTGGTGTTCTGATGCAGAACGCCAGGTGTGGATGCTGTTCCCGTGCTCACGGCTGTCTGCTGGGGGAGATGTGACCTTGTTTCAGTCATCTCTCTCTGAACACACAAGTGTATGTGTGTTCTGGGCATTCTAAGAGCACACACCATAACAATTTAACGCATGTCAAAATCCATTGTCTCAGAAGACATTCTTGATGACATGATGGTTGAGCTGGTATCTCGAGGAGGAGTGGGCACTGGCTGGTCAGAGAAGAAGTCTGGATTGCAGGCTTTGGGGTGGAAGCCTGCCGCAGGGCTCTTGGCAGAATTATTGTACCTCTGAGGATGTCACAGCACGAAAATGCAGTGGGCACATAGCAAACAAGCGGGGATGCTTTAGCTAAGACCCCTCGAGTGCCTTCAGCAAACGGACGCTCCTGTGGGAGCCCTGTTATCATGCCTGCATTTAGTTTATCTTTGCTGTAGGACGCTTCGGTATCGATTATCTGGGAACTGCAGCTAGTCAACAAGCAGATACCGATCAGGTAGAATGTATAGAGTCGGTGCTACCAAGAACACCGTAAAGGCTGTAGGAAGCTTCTGTGTGCTCTTCTCACTCAAGGAGTTTTCTGTGACAAAGGAGATTAAAGACGAGAGCAGAGAACAAATCAAAGTAGATAAAGTAATCAATATGATGCAAATATGGAGCTCTAACTTGGTGCCGTACAATAGTGGGTTAGCCATTATCCAGTCCATGTCGCATCACAAGAAAGCGCTTTCAGAAACATGGTCCTTATTTGGCGGTGCAGGGTCGGGGGTAGGGATTAATTCATTGTTGACCAGACCCAGGTGACACAGAGCTTTCATGTGGAAACTTGAAGAGATTAGTTTGACATCTGGATAATTTGTCTGGATGACAGCAAACAGTCAGGTGTGCGGGAGCACGTGGGTGATTGATGACCGTGCTCCGTGTTCTCTCTGACATCTGGCGTCCGGCTGAGTGTCTGCCTTGGAGTGCAGTGCCTGGTGGCCATCAGCTGTGTCCCCTCCTACGGCCAGCCCCTTGTCTCCTTGTCTTTTCATCTGCTCTGCCTAACACAGGCTGTTTGATCGGCAACCACATTTTAGGGCCAGTCCTTGAGGTTTTGAGGTTTATAAAAAGATTTGCAATTCACCAAATTGTAACAATGCAAATAGGAGTGTTTTTGTCTTCCTACCATTCTCCTTCCACACAAATGATCTGGGGTCACCGGTGTACATGTCCTGTGATCCTAGATCATTTGTAGATTGCTTCCTTCTTAACCCTTGCACAGAGCCATGGTGGGTAGAGGTAAAGCAGTGTCTGCAACGTCCTACCTCGTTCTATGGCATTTCTGCACATGAGTGCTGTGAATACCCAAGTGGTCATGTGTGTGTGTGCATGTGTGTGTGTTTTGCTTTTGTCTTCCTTTTTTTTTTTCAAAAGCCAACTAAACATGGATCTCGATCTGATGATCCCGAAACACTACTTTTTAAAAAAATTTTGTTTATTTCAGAGTTAGAGTTATAGACAGGGAAAGACAGAGAGAAAGATCTTCCATCCACTGGTTCAGTCCCCATGGCCACAATGGCCAGAGCTGAACCATTGCAAAGCCAGGAGCCAAGAACTTATTCCAGGTGGGTGTAGGAGCCATGTTCTGCTGCTTTTCCAGGCAATAATAGCAGAGAGCTGGATGAGAATAGGAGCAGCTGCAACACAAATCTAAGCCCATATAGGATTCTGGTGTCTGTGGCACTGGCCCAGCCCACTATGCCACAGTGACGACCCCACCCCCAACACTATTTTAAATAACTTGACATTTAAGTACACCTTAGTTTGGAAGTGGCACCTCTGGAGAAAAGCCGCATGGAGAAGATGTGGAGAGAAGTGACAGATGCCACTGTCTTGCTGGGAGTCTTTGGAATTGCTGAGAAAGCAAGTTTTACTGTGGCAAATAGATGAACCAGAGAGGGATGCACTATTGCGTTGAAGAATGTGGGTGACAGGAGGGAAAGCTGCTTGGAAACCAGACTTGGCGACATGAAAGGAATGGACATCTTACGAAGAAGCATCTGGGCGGGAGCCGAGCAGAGGGGTCTGGCACTGCAGAGAGCAGAAATTTCGACCTGGATACTGCAGGAAGTCAGCCATTCATGCCTCTCTTTCTATGACTGGGCTCTGCTGAAGAGCAAGGAACCAAGCACTGCCTGTAGTAGTCACTCGGGAGGAAGTAAGTGCCAATTAAAATGCAAACTTTTTTTTTTACTGAGCTGTATAGCCTCTTTCGACATAATGAGCTATTTGTTATGTATTAGCTCTGCATAGACTGAGATTGAATCAGTCATCTGACAGGACAAGTTTAAAGATGAGAGATGAGATGCATACGGTTCAGAGAAAGTGAATTCGTGGACTCAGGATATAATGATGAGTTCTAGAATCTTCCAGAAAGTAAGGGGTCATGAGAGGAAGAGCAGTTGTTGAAAAAAAAAAGTATTAAGAAATGGGGAATAAGCTGTGCATACTTTATATTTTACTTGGGGCTAAGTACACTTTCCTTCTTATAGAAACTGATCCGAGCAGCCACGAAATCTTTATTCTCACAAATTACCCATATGTGTTGAAAGTCTCCTTGAAGCAAGGGTTGCTGCGACGTTCTTCAATATTTTCATACCAATCCAAGTGCCCTTGATAATCCACCCCTAGAGTTTCCCAACCTGACATCTTGACATCCTCCTTTACGCTGGACGTGGCCCCATCTCCACTGACACAGACGGAGGTTTGGCCAGGAGCCTTCCTGCTCCTGAGTTCTCTTCCCTGCTGTCCATATGGGGGAAATGGACTTGAGCAGGTGCATGGCGGCCAAGCTGCCACAGAAAGCACAGTGCTGCTCCTGCCAGTTCACGTTGGAGCTGCGTTTTCTCGTGGAGGCAGTGCTGGGTGAGCCACTGCAAAGTCAGCCTTTGTAGACAGTGCACCTCAGACTGTCATGCAGAGGCAGACAGGATAGGTGTGGTTTTCTGCAGGTGATGTTGGTGTCCCTGTCCTTGGCTTGCCAGCTCATGTGCTCAGCCTTGAAACTTGCCTGCACACCATTGGTATTTAAACCTCTTGAAAGTGTGTCCTCTTTGAGGGTTACTCATTTCTGGAGATGCTAAGGCCATGGAAAGCACTACAGTTGCACACAGGAAGTGAGGTCATGTTGGAGTCTGGAAGTGCACTAACCCACAGTGGTTGAACAGAACCTTAGCTTTGAAATCTGCAGTTACCTTGGCCTCTGCGTGCGGGAGCTTGGGGAAGGGTTATGTAACCCCTAGAAGCCAGCCCTTGGTTTTGAGATGAGAATAGTGAAACCTCATGTCCAAAACTGTGGTGGGGGCTTCAATGAGGTCATTCAGGTTGGAGATGGCACATAGCACTGGACCTCACAGCAGGGTGGCCGTGGGCATGGTGTTCTGCTCCTCTGGCTGACGCTGTTGTCTGGAGGTGCTCACGAAGATCCCGCCACCTGCATCTATCCGCAGGAAGACTGTCTGGCACACTCCCACGGGAAGATGAACCCAGAGGTTTGCATAAGCCTTGGAGTGCAGATGGCGGCTTTTTCCCCGGGGGCACGTTCCACAGTGAGGTATTGCAGAGTTAGAACTTCTGACAGACTTGCACCTGTTATGTGGTAAGTAGAGCAGGAAGCTCAGGGCTTGTGGAATGTGAGTGCCACAGTACCGAGTGTGTGACCAAGTGTCCCTGGGCCCTGAGCGTGCTCAACCCCTCAAATGCAAATGTCATCCATTTCGCCCTGATGAGTTTCATCCTTAGGTCCTTCATAGCATCTCAAGGTCTTAGCTCTTATATGTCCTTTACACTGGAAAGGAGGCTCTGAGAACCCAAATCTGTGGCCCTGTGGCAGCCTTCGGAGTTGTCACTCTGTCATTCTTTTTATTTAAAGATTTATTTTATTGACTTGAGAGGCAGGGTTTCAGGGAGGCAGGAGAGTGCAGACAGAGACCTTCTATCCATTGTTCTCTCCCCAAATGGTCTCAGTGGCTAGAGCTGAGCCCAGCAATGCCAGCAGCCTGGAACTCCATCCACGTCTCCCACCTAAGTGTTAGGGGGCAACCACTTGGGCCATCGTGTGCTGCCTTCTCAAGTGCTTTAGCAGGGAGCTGGATCCGAAGTGGAATAGCCGGCACTCAAACCCGTGCTGCGACATGGGACACCGGCGTCACTGGTGGTGGTTACCCCGCTGTGCCACAACGCCAGCCTCCCCTGTGCTGTCCTTGCCGCTGGCACAGAGCATTGGTCTGAGTGACCTCCCTGCTCTGCCAAGGGCTGCTTTGTGAGTTTCTCACCAGAGGCACTTCCTGGCTGAGAAGCAGGCGTGGAATGTCTAGAAAC